TAGGTTGTTCCTGGCCTCTGTGCCTCTTCCTTAAGGCAGCTACGGATAGAAGTGTCCCAGTCTCTGTTTATTTTTCTAAATATGAAGCAGTTCTTGCTATAGCGTGGCTCATGCAGGTTTAAGTGTTCATGACCAGTATGTGAGATGTTTGCAAAGTTTGGCATGCTATTTAAAATTATTTGATAGGGAGGCTACCTGTTCTTGGACAAGACCAACAATCTGAACTGGAGTTGCCAAAGGCAACTCACCGACTCCCCTGACCGTCCTCTGGGGTGGGTTGACTGAACTGTTGATTCCTGGGTTGTCCTTACATCTGGCTGGGGATCAGGCTGCCTGAGACGTGTGTGCTTTGAGGTTTCTGGGAAATGTTTGGCCACTGTAATCCAGTCTTTAAATTCTAGTGTAAACTTTCTTCTATTGGAAGAAGCCATGGCTGCTCAGCCAGAAAAATTGTTTTTCAAGATGAGGTTGTCTAGACTGAGTTCAAGCATCGGGCACGTTTCCCAAATCTTGGACCATTCCTGTGACTTTGTTCTATTTAAACCATACCTAATTGCTTGGTGTTCATGGATTAAAATGTATTCAGTGATCCAAGTCTTTTGAGGAAGAACTGTGTTCTTGTTCATGCTTCTGCAATAATTGCTGTGTTTTGTTTTTCTTCTTGCTAGATGTTTCCTTGAATTTGCAGATGATAAAAGGATTTTCAAAGCTTGCTTTTTTGGCATAGGAGTAGTGGATCAAAGGGACATTTTTTCCACTTATGCCTTACATATAAAAGTCACAAGTAGCCAGTCAGACTAGCATTCCTAAAACTTGCTATTTGTATCTTTTCCCATACCTGGCTTTTTTTTTTTTTTTTGATCTTTTATCATACCTGGCTTTATTTTTACTCTGAGACTTGCAATTTCATGTACTATTTTTTCCAGATTTTTGAGACAGTGAGGGCAACATGAGTACGCAAAGCTTTTTCAATATTTTTCCCTTTGGTATCCTCCTCCTTTTGTGTCCTTTTCTCCTTCCTCCCTATGTTTTCAGTAATCTTAAGAACTTAAGTGGAGCAGACCGAGATCCTCTGATCTCTTCCTTCCTTGCTGCATGGTTAATTACATGGATCACTACTTCCATAGTTACTGTCTGAAGGCTGTTTGCATCACTTTAAAGATGTCTGAATTGTCTAATCATCTCCTCCTATCCCTTGCGGGGAGGGGGAGCAAGCGTGAAGTGATTTTTCTTTTTCCTATTTTTTTCCCCCCTTCCCTCCCCCCAGTGTTGTCCCAGATGTATTTGACGTCCCGAACCAAAGGTGTTGCTTTTGTATGTTTGGCATCCTTTTTTTTAAAGCCATGTAATGTTTAGCATTCACAATAGCATGGGAGCTATAGTCACAGCTTGGTTTGTGAAATATACTGGCAAGTGTGTGGAATGTAGATAGAGATAGTCAATACGGGACAGAGATTTACTATATCAGCTTCTTTTCATTACTTGAGGAAGGTCTGTATCACAGAAACACAGAATTCCAGAAGAGTGTAAGTTGGCAGAGACCTCCGGATCATCTAGTTCAACCCCCCTGCTAAAAGTAGGGCCAGCCAGAGCAGGTTGCTTGGGATGTTGCCCAGTCCAGGGGTGGGAACTCCACAACTGCGCTAGGCAACCAGTTCCAGTGTTTGATCACCCTCACAGTAAAAAAAGCTTATTTCAATGCTTAGGCAGAATTTCAGTTTGTGCCTGTTGCCTCTTGTCTCACCACTGGGCATCACTGAGAAGAATCTGGCTCTGTTTTCTTTACTTCCTAACCCTTCAGGTATTTATACACATTGGTAAGACCCCCCTGCACCTTCTTCTCTGGGCTGAACAGTCCCAGCTCTCAGCCTCTCCTCATATGACAGATGCTTCAGGCCCTTAATCATCTTTGTGACCCTTCACTGGACTCAGCCCAGCATGTCCATATCTTTCTTACACTAGAGAGCCCAGAACTGAAGACAGCACCCCAGATATGACCCCACGAGTGCTGAGTAGAGGGGCAGGATCACCTCCCTCAACCTGCTGGCAGTGCTCTGCTTAATGCAGCCCAGGATGCTGTTGGGTTTCTTTGCAACATGGGCACATTGCTGGCTCATGGTCAGCTTTTTTGTCCACCGGGGCCCCGACGTGGTTCCCTGCAGAGCTACTTTCCAGTTGATTGGCATTCAGCCTGTCCTGGTGCATGGGGTTATTCCTTCCCAGAAGCAAGACTTTGTCTTTCTTTTTGTTAAACTTCATGAGGTTTCTCTCTGCCCATCACTCCAGCCTGTCAATGTCCCTCTGAATGGCAGCGCAACCATCTGGTGTATCAACCACTGCCTCAAGTTTTGTAACATCAGCAAACTTGCTGAAGGTGCACTCTGTCCCATCATCCAGGTCATTAATAGAGATGTTAAACAGTACTGGACCCAATATTGACCCTTGGGGGACACTGCTAGTGACTGGCCTCCATCTGGACTTTGTGCTGCCAATCACAACCCCTCTGAGCCTGACAGATCAGCCAGTTTTCAGTCTACCTCAGAGTCCATTTATCTAGCCTGCACTTTACCAATTTATTCATGAGGATGTTATGGGAGACGGTTTCAAAAGCTTTGCTAAAGTCCAGGTAAACTATGTCTTCTGCTCTCCCCTCATCCACCCAGCTAGTCATTTCATTGTAGAAGGCTACTAGGTTGGTCAGGCATGGTTTTTGTTTTCATTGACTCCTCTCAATCACCTTTGTGGCCTTCGTATGTTTGGAAATAGTTTCCAGGATTACTTGCTCCATCACCTTTCTAGGGATTGAGGTGAGGCTGAGCAGCCTGTAGTTCCCCAGGTCCTGCTTCTTGCCCCTCTGGATGATAGGAGTAACGTAACACTCTTGCCCAGTCCTCAGGAACCTCTCCCAATTGCCCTGATCTTTCAAAAATAATTAAGTGGCCTTGCCATGACATCAGCCAGCTTCTTCAGCACTCAAGGGTAAGTCCATCAGGTTCCTTGGACTTGTGTATGTTCAGTTTGTTTAAATGTCCCCCAATGGGATCCCCTTCTACTGAAGGTAGGTCTTCATTGCTTCAGACTTGCCACTTGTCTCAGGGGCCTCGGATTTCTGAGGAGAATCTTACCAGTAAAAACAGAGGCAAGGAATATATTGATTTTTCTCTGCCTTCTGTGTCCCCTGTCACCAGATCCTCTGCTCCATTCAGCAGCTGCCTCACATTTTCCCTAAACTTCCTTTTGTTGCTGATATACCTGTAGGAGCCCTTTTCGTTTCCCTTCACAACCCTTGCAAGATTCAACCCCAGGTGGGCTTTGGCTTTCCTAATCCCATCCCTGCATGCTTGGACAGCATCTCTATGCTCCTCCCAAGACACCAGTCCCTCTTTCCACCTCTTGTATGCTTTCTTTTTGTGGTTGAGTTTAGTCAGGAGCTCCTTGTTCACCCACACAGGCCTCCTGCCAGTCTTGCTCAACTTTGTGCATGTCTGGGTGGACTCCTCCTGAGTTTGGAAGTGATCCTTGAAAATCAGCCATCTCTCCTGGAAGCTTCTTCTCTTGAGGACCCCATGGTATGGTTGCACCTTTTTACCCTATTTTTTCGAGATTGAAGAATTCTGGAGAAGTCGACCTCAATGTTTCTTGTGCAAATGTTACTCCATTCTTTTTGATCATTCTTGTTGCCCTTCTGTGTGCTTTGCCAGTGTTTCTCTCCTTGAATAGAGGAGGAGCCACAACTGCATGCAGTACTTCAGCCATCTGTGCGCTTGTTCTCCAAGCACATCATAAACTGTTACAGTGCCCTAATAGCTTGTTTCGGGCTCTCTTCCTTTCCTTGCGTTTTGTTTCTACTTCTGGGAGCTGAATGATGTCAATCACGTCTATAAAGACCATTTAAAGGTCTGTCCTCAGTAGAGGTGGGGTGTTTTTCCTTCCCTTTTTGGTAAGGAAAGCAGCACCTTAAAGGTTGCAAGCTATCTTTCAGTTCAAAGTCTTTATTGGTGTATGTGGGGTGGGGAGAGAGGCAAAATGAAGTTTCTCATCCATCTCATTTCAATTGGGGTAAGTCAGTGAATGATCTAGGAGTTGGGAGCCTGGTTTTCTCTCCCACCAACCAGCAGCCTTTTTGGCTACTTGTTTGTTCCCAAGGAAGTCTATTCAGTTACAGATTTGCATTATTTTGAAATCAACATTAATGTTTAACTTAGAATAACAAACACTTCTCTTGTGCATTTGGGAACAGGCCATATCGATCACCATTTTTGCTGTACCCAAACTCACTGCACTGCTTTAGTGGCTCAAACCAAATGACAGAGTTGTGTACGTAGAACCTGCCTGAGAGGTATATATCCTCCTAAGTTCTTGTGCTCTGGGTGCTGCGATGGAGAGTAGGCTTGTACATCCTATCCTTTGAAAAATAACTTGCAGTTTGCACTGTGATCTGACAGTAAAAGCAATCTTTCAAGGATACTGATAAGCATTTTAAGAAATCTGAGCAGAATCTCATCTGAGTTAAGTCAGTAAAACCCATGCTTGATAGGTGATGCTGTACTGTAGCTAACTGGTCATAGTTTGATTTTTGCAGAGGAAATGTATGATGAAATGTATTCCTCAGTTGCTTTTTTAACAATCCTGTTGATATCTGTTCTTAGGCTTTCTGTTCAGAAAGAGCACGTTCAAACTGGGAAGGGAAAACAAGCAGCTCAGATCTTACTGTCACCTAGCCTTGAGGGTGCTCACAGCTGTGTCACCCTGTGAATTAGTCTTTCATTCAGTGCCATATTTGTTGTTAGAGCCTGGTGTTGCACAGCTACCTACCCATGCTTATTCCTGAAGGCAGATGACTACAGGCAAGGAGAAGAAAATTTGGCCCTCCTTACTACTCAAGTTCCTCTAATCAAAAGTTTTATTTTCTAATCTGTCATCTTCCTGACCTATCTTGCACTCTTTGGTGTAATCTGCAAAAGAAAGTTCGCCTTGATACCAGGACCTTTCACACCATCATGGTGAACAAGAGAAAGCGTCTCCTACGTGACTGCTACAACTGGCACGCCAACGGCGGAGATACCATAGGATGTCAGTCCCTGCACTGGCTGAAACAACGTTCCCCTCAGGCCCCCCCAGTACGTGAGAGGCCTTGTCCCAGACAGTATGTCTGAAGGAGGGTGTTACCATGCCTGGAGCTCCTCCCTGGAGGCCAGGGCTGAAGATAACAGCATCCTCACCTGTGGGAGGTATGCTGTGCTTGAGTTGTGAGGTGAACAGTCTGCAGGTGGAGGTGAGCAGGCTGTGCAGCATTAGGGAGAACAAATGGGAGATTAACTGGTTATTTGAAGAGATGCTGCAGGGCAGCAGCCCAAGCCCCACATTACTCAGAAGGAAAGATGATCAAAAGCTACCTTCAAGTGTGAGTGAGTGGAGACTCCCACAGTGTTGAAGACTGGAAATATTTGGTTATTTGCAGCCAGGCGGCTTTCTCGGCCTGCAGATGTTGGATTGGAATACAAGTACAGGGTTCTAGCAACAAGAGAGGAGCAGTGATTTCTGACAGACTGGCAAGTTTTGGGCTGGCCATGCCTCTCATCTGTGTTAGAACTGGTGCCACCAAGAAGAAGCAGCTGGTGATAATGGCTGGAGACTTCCTTCTGTGGGGGGACTGAGGCACCCATCTGCTGACCAGACTTGCTGTCTTGGAAGGTGTGTTGCTTGGAAGGAGCTCGGATCCGGGATGTTGATCCAGGAGTTGGTAGAGCTCATCTGTCCGGTGGACTGTTACCCCTTGCTGCTCATGTGTGGGCACTGATAGAATAGTAGGATAATTCAGTTGGCAGGGACCTCAGGAGGTCTCTAGTCCATCCTCCTGCTCAAAGCAGGGTAAGCTCGAGGTCACATGAGGCTGTTTGGGGCTTTATCCAGTTGAGTCTTGAAAACCTTCAGGGACAGAGACTGTACAGCCTCTTCCATTTTTTGACTGTTCTCATTGTGAAAAAGCTTTTCCTCATTCATTTGCAACGTCTCTTGTTTCAGCTTATACCCAATGTGTTTCATCCTCCCACCATGCACCACCGTGAAGAGCCTCACTCTGTTTTTATAACTCTCATGGGTATTGGAAGGCTGCCCCTCAGCCTTCTCTTCTCCAGGCAGAACAAGCCTAATCCTCGTAGCCTCCCATCCTGCGACAAGTGCTCCAGCCCCCTGAGCATCTTGGTGGCCCACTGCTGAATTCCCCCCAGTTTGTCAGCATCTTCCCTGTGTTGAAAAAGGGAAAAGGTTTCCTCGCAAAGGAGACCTTGAGCAGACCAAAGGTCACTGCCAGGCCTTGGGAGCAAGACTGAGAGGCTTGGGGGCCCAGGTGGAGTTCTTGTAGATACTGCTGGTGGAGGGGAAAGGCTCAGGCAGGAAGCAGATGTATTCTGACAGTCAGCTCCTGCCTGTACGGTTTGCATTACAGGTGGGGCTTTTGTATAACCACGTGAACCAGAAGAGAAACATAAATGAGTGCCTCCCCTCATTTTATGAGACGTTTATGTATGAATGAGACTGGACTTGTCAAGACCGCATCTAGATAGCGCAAGTCAACAGGAAAATACAGTGCCCAGAAAGGAAAATGCACACTTATATTTCTGTGTGTATGAAGTGGCAAATGCCCACGATGTGATAGCATTACTTTCTTTTCCTTCTAGTTTGTTTTGCCTGCTGGAGGGAAGGAGCTGATTTCACAGCTGGAAACTGAGACTATCTAAATCTTCTTGCCCTTCACGGGCTTTTAGCACACTGAGCAGAACAAGCTTTCAGATGTGTTCTGTGTTAATGGTATAAAAGTATATTGGCCGTTTGGAAACACCGAACAAACATGAATTGGGTGCTGATATAAATCTAGAAACCAAAGTGGTCTAACTTGAATCGGTTAACCACCTTAATTTCACATCCGCTTGCTGTGGGTACCCTTAATTATTTATAGCAGGAATTGAAATGGAATGAAACAGAGGGTGATACCAGAGTGAGTACAAACTAATCCTACTTAAATCCATTTTAAACTCTTTTCTTAAAATGCTGTGATGAGATTTGGTGTTCTGCTAGGATGGTTCCTTGCAGTCAGCCAAGCTTAGCATAAGTCTCGTAACAAGTTTTCACAGTAGCTTAAGCTATTTCTAAGGTAGACTTAAACATACACATATCAAATTTAACAGAGCTGGAGCTGCAAAAAATAATGTTAAACATAGGCCTTCAGCTCTCTAAACAGAGAGACATGTTGCAGTGCGGCAAGGTCTTTTCCAAAATCCTTCCTAAAGAGAACCACATCTGCATGTATCAGGACAACTTAAGCATTCCTTGGGGAAATAAGGTGTGGAGGTTTAAGGGAAGTTATGCATTCTGTAGAGCTGTTGAAAAGAGATAAATTAGAACTGGTGATTTCCTCTGTAAAGTCACTTCTGCCTTTTCAGATGCACATCACTGTTAACTATTTAGTTTGCTTTCTGATTCTGGTTAAAGATATCAGTTGGAATGTAAGGGTTGATATGCTGGGCATAGGTCTAAAGTAGGTGATTTGGAAGGAAATGACATTTTAGCCCCTCCCCACAATCGCTGCTTAAAACATCCAGATTATATGTAGCACCTAACATCTTCGTTTGGAAGTCTTAAGCTTCCTTCTACCCTCTTAGTGTGTATTACGTTTTTACCTCTTGGTCCTTTTGAAAAGAAAGTGATTGACACTTAGGCTTTAGGGTATGCTTTAAAGAGATGCTGAGGGCTAAGGGGGACGGAGCACAGTTGAAAATCTCTGCCTACAATTCAGGCTTAAAGTTCATAAAATATGGGCTTATAATATGCTTCCTACGTACAAACTGTCAACCATAACAGTATTAAACACCAAGTTTCCTTAAACCTCTCTAATACTCGGAATGAAACTGATTATTGGTCACTTCAACTTTATCTGGTCCTTTTTGACATTAACTGACCCAGTGCAGTCTCCTGTTGCCACTAAGGTGGACTTAATTGTTGGAAACTTTACAGATGCTTAATTTATACCTCCATTCAAACTAGAATGAAGGCAGTCTCGGGAGAGTTCAAGCCGCTGAAGAAATCCCTGGAGTGAAAAACTTTTTAATCTGTTTCTCTTGAGGAAAAGGGCTTGCTAGGAACCCTAATTGTGTCAAATTATCAAGTTGTATCAAATTATCAAAAGGACAGATTTTCTCCCAGATGTTTTTTGGTAAATTATTGCAGCCATGAACAGGAACTATGCTTGTAATGTGAATTAAAATAGTCTGTAAGTGATGAACCGGTTATGTAGTAGGTATCCATAGCCTCAGCAAATCTGTTTCTATTTTTGGTACCGCAGATATGTGCAAACATTAAGGATTGGGATTTTGGAAGTCCTCTCTGAGGTACCGCAGTAGTTCCTGAAGAATTCCAAAGTGGCGCTGATATTCTGGAAGCGACCCTGTTACTATGGAGCATGTATTTCTTTCTGTTCATGCAATGTTACCCAGGGCAACAAATTTGAAATAAAATTTGGGAGCTGCGCGCTTAAAACAAGTCCTGTAGCCAGTCTTCTGGAATCTCTTGGCTCCTTACTTTCTGGCTGCTTGCAGCCAGATTTCTTTCAGATGAAAGAGGTGGTGATGAGATTTGTGAAAGCTGGTTCTACCTCGGTTGTGTCCTTGGTGTGGTACAAACCACTAAAGGTAGTTTTGTGTACAGTGGAACGTTAAAGTGAAAATGCCCTTGAGTAATTTACTCTCAATCTACTTTTGCTTACCAGGTCCTGGAGAAATATCCTAATACACCTATGAGCCATAAAGAGATTCTTCAAGTTATCCAGAAAGAAGGACTTAAAGAAATCAGGTGAGTTAAGTATCCATAGCAGTAAAACAGGAGATAACACTTTGGTTCCAACTTAGTTTATCATCAAACCCTATCTCCTATGCATCTTTAGGACTGAAATGTTACATGCTTACAGAATTGGAGTCTAGGTCCCATTTTCAAAACATCTGAAGTCACTGGATATTTTCACTGAGTAAGCTAAATGAGGTCGCATTTAATTTCCAAATACATGCTACATGTCTCTGGTCTGAAGCTCTTGTGTGAGTGAGATAAACTAGACCTGGTCAGGTAGTTGAGGCTCCAGTTACTGATGTAAACTTAATTATTTCTTATTTCATCTTTAAAGAGGAGGGAGAGAAAATAATTGAACAGACAATTTAATGGAAATGACCTAAAACAAAACTATCCAACTTAAATTTAAAAAAGCAGTCTCCTTTTTTTATACTTTTACTTACAAATCCTTTTTTAATACTTTTTAAACTTTTCTTATACTTTTTTTTTGTTACTTCTTTCCTCATGCTGTGTGCTCTAGTATTATCTGGAGTAGTGTGTGTTTCTGCTTTACTGTGAAGTAGAAATTATTTCTGTTTCTGTTTTCTAACAGAGAAAAAGGGGGCAAAAAGAGAATTGAATGCCAGTTCATCAATTTGGGAATGAAATAACTGACTAATTCAAACTTAGGATGGCCACGTTCTCCGCTCCTCTTTGCCTGGCTTAATGTAATGACCCACCTGCTTTGCAGGAAATATTCAATGGCCCAGCAGTAGAGTGTCTGCAATCGATAACAAGATCTTCCATTCAGGTTACATACAACACAAAAGATGTTTGCTTTTTGGAAATTTGACGTTTTATGTCAAAGCAAAGAAACCAAATATATTTCATTTAGCTCTTAAAATTGCTATAGCGTATAATTTTTGTCAGCCAACATCAGGGGAGGTGACAAAGGTGTGGGTTTGGTTTTTGCCCTGATACAATTAATTTTGGAGTAGTACTACATTCAGTCATATCAAAGGCATATCAGCCTGAAGACAGTCAAAGGCATATCTGCAAACATCAAGCATGCTTTTCAGCCCTTTTCACGCTACTAAAGATAGAAATGCAGTTGTCTACAGTGGTGGTCTTGTTGATGCCAAAGCATGGGACCAGCAAACATTACATTTAAATGAATGTTTTTATTATTTTTATTTTATTTTTGTAATTTAAAATGTTGTTTTCAGGCCAGAGCCTTAGGCAAGGGCTCTGATAGGGCATGAAACGTCCAGTCTGGCTGGCCAGGCCAGGGTTTTGAATGAAAGGCAGAAAACGGAGGAGAAATGACATGGTGCCATCTAGTCTTTCTCAACCTGAAGCTCTTCTATCACAGTAGAGTTGGGGATTTAGCCTGAGCTGATAGAAGGTTGTTTCCCTCTCTAAAGAGCATCAGGAGGGCAAGAGCTCCTCAATGTTCTTAAATCCCAAAGGATGTCTGTGGGAGCCGTCAGCTTGCTAAACTTGGTTTCTCTAGTCCAACTGTCCATCTTACTGACTTAGCAGCATTTGGATGCCATACAGTGGTCTTTCCTTGTAAACATTAAATTGATGTAATAAAGCTTTCTTTAGGTTAAGACTTAAGGTTTTATCAGTTCTTAAGCAATTCAGTTCCCGTTAGTACCAGTAATGTTTCTATCTGTTGGTGGCTGAATTGGGCTGCTTATAACTCACAGCCAGTGACAGATGGACTTAATGCAAACTAATACTTATTAGAGGAAAATCATTGTGGAGAAGATCTAAAAGTTGCAAGATGAGCATGTGGAGCTTTCCAGATTTTGAGCCCTCTTATATGGAGATTCTGATAGGAAAACATGGCAAAGTCTTTGATGGCAGATAACAGCAATTTCTCTGTGCTTAGCTGGCTTGAGACAGCAAGCAGCTGCTGCGAGGCTCTTTACTTTGGTAAAATGGTGTGCAAGCGTGAAGGCAGGACATAGGCTCTCGTGTTCAGACGTGTCAAGGCATTCCTTAAAAAGTTTCTAAATGTGATTTGCTTTTAATAAAAAACAAAATTGCCCATATGCTAGATAGAAACTACGTCGTTTTTCTAAATAGTTTACTAACTCTGTCAGAGTTTTTACTGCAATGCTTTTTTTTTTTTTGTTCAGGATCTATTGCCCCATATCCTTAGGTATATCTACCTTTTTACCATCTTTGATTTCCAAATGGGAAATAATTTTAAAAGTGCCAAATTACTTTCCTACTGACTTTGTGGAACGAGGCAGAGAACAGAGAATGCAACTGGTGCCCAGTAGCCATCACTTCTGTGTGGTACACAGCCAGTCCGCTCCTTTCTGGTCTAATGACTCAGGGCACATGCTGCCATTTGGCCAGCTGGTTGGGAGGAAGCTTTTGAGGGCACTTTGAAATACTTTAGGGGACTTGAGGCACTGGTAGTGTCGCAGATGGTTTGGAGTTGCAGGGAAGAAGGGTGCCAATTGCAATTAGTGTTCAGGGCGGGGGGGAAAGTAGCAATAGTGATTTCTGCTACGTGCAGGACAGATTGGCTTTTTATTTGAATAGGGCAAGGTCTTTCAGAAGATGCCTTTTCTAGCAATGCAGAAGCCACGGGTGTTAATTAACTGATAATTTTAACTGTTTTTGCAATTGTATCCTGGTGCTGAAATGAGTATATACAAGCAAAGGTTGGGTTGCACTAGAGTGAAAAAATCTGCATAGAAGCTGGTGACTGCTTTCAGTTTATGCCACTTATGCCTGTATATTCTTCCCTAAAGGCTTCTGTCTGCACCTGAGGACTGTATAAATTATTTTGGTTCCAGCAGTTGATTCCTAGGCATCCTAGCCCTTCACCTATGCTGTGCTAAAGAGCCTGAGAGACTGCTGTTGAGAGCAGTGTTAGCAGAACGGATTGTACTCGCTGACCATAGCGGGTTTGCACTCAGCAGGCCTGGAGTACTTGGTTGGTTTGTTTACCTACTCATTATTAATATTTCCTCAAATAAAGCTTTTCACCATTTTTTAAAATCAAATTTCTAAAAAGGAATTCCATTTGCCTGGTGATAGCTGTGACATTTGAAAAAGTTGAGGTCAGGTAACGTGATGCTTGCCAGAAAACTCTGGGTAGACTGTTCTAAAGTATTTGAAACTATTCATTACTTTAGCAGTCTGCAGTTAACCCTGCTAGAAAATTTCTCCTACTTGAGCTTGCTCTGGTCCTGCTACAGTAAGAACTGCTCCTTCAAGTTGAGCTAGTGCTCCTGGGTCAACAGTTTTTAACTTGCTACTCTTTTCTGTAGGTGAACCATCACCCTTAGGATGGTAAGATTTTTGCCCCGAAGAAAACTGGTGACATCGCGTAGCAATACAACAGCTAACTAACTAGCAGTTTTATATTTAAACTGTATCAGCTAGTAGCTTATCACATTTCAGGACTCATCCCACAAGATTCTGGAAAATGTATGAGTGTCTCAAGCTCCATATTAAAGTTGTTGTATCCAAAACTGGCTTTCATAATCTGGTTTGTTTTTCATTGATACAAATGAATGCTCCTGTACATGGGGCCAATCTGTTGTTGGAGGTGCACAATGATAGGGTGAGAGGCAACGGACATGAGTTGCAAGATAGGAAATTCCGATTAGGGTAAGGAAAAATTCTTTCACTGTACTTTGAGCTGGAGGTTGGACTAGATGACCTCCAGGGGTTCCTTCCAATCGCAATTCTTCTATAATTCATTGTTTCCATCCTCATGTTCTCTAGGTGAAGTGGCTGCTCACCCAAACGCGTGGAGACCTGTTCTTTCAGCTTCAGTGCCTCTTGTATGATTGTCATGAGTCATTGCAATACCTCAAAGCCTTATTAGGCTTATTTGTGGAAAGGCAGTACTGTTAAAAGGACTGCTTCTCATATGCACACATTGAGATGCAATACTTGAAGTAGGTCGTACTCTATTACTACGGGATAGCTTTGTTTTTTGCCCCTTTCAGTGTGAAATTGCAAGTTATGAATCAGCTTGGAAGGAACTGTAGCTAGCTGAAGCCATCAGCTGACAAACACTTAAATTACTTAAAACGCATTTAAATAATCTGTGGATTAAAGAGAAGTTCAAGGTCAGGCAGTTCATTTGAAGATTACAAATGAACTGCTTGCCTTGGAACTTCTTTGGGTTCATGTCACATGCATTTATAATATCGAGGTGGGGAGGGGATAGGACAGGGTTTTTCACGCCCCTGTGGAACCACCAGGGTTGGGTTACCTCTAAATTACTTTATTCTTTCTAGTTATCTTCTGGCAGAGTGAAAATAACGTGGTATAAAATGTCTATGTGGTTCCTTACCCTAAACATAAAAGGGTATTGCTAACTTCTGAGGGTTATCACATGCAAGATTTCTCGCGCGTAGCTGGAATTCTGGGATTCTTTCCTAATGTCTTGTCGACAGGTGAAACTTGGATTGGTTGGAAGCATATGCGTTAGAGTCAGCCTCAGAGGCGTTCTCGTTTTAATTGCTAGACTCTCCTTTATCTTTGTTTTTCTATGAATTATTCTAAGTGTTTAGGAGAAGGGGCTGAAAAAAGTGAAGGTCAGTAAATGCTGGTGCAATAAATTCTTGCTTTTTTTCCCCCCTCTTTAGTCAGTTGAAAGTTGAGTTTGCCTTTTTCTGGAGAAAATAAACAGTTATCAACTTACACTTTAACTGAGGAACACCAGAACATTATATTCTGTTCTAGATATTGATATGTTGATATCTAAGTGAAATTTGTGCATAAAATCTCTGGTGTAACATACAGGTCAAAGCTATTTTTGGCCAAATGGCTGTTAGATATTAGGTATATCTAAAATTAAAGATCAATATATAATGGAGGTAGGGTGTTCTGGGTTGTGTTTTCCAGAATAGCTTTTTGGCCAAGACTAGTGGCACATGTGATGACTGGTTCTTTTGGACACTAATTACCCTGTTCTCATTTGGGATTTTATGCTGTGGGGAACTAGGGAGCTGGACAAGGGCTCCACACCGGGAACCTCTCCTGCAGCG